GCAGCTTGGCGCACTCCACCCGCGACCTCAACCAGCTTGTTGCCCGCCCGTAGCACGGCTGCCCAACCCATAGGAGTGTTGTCAAAGTCCTGTTCAATCGCCTTGACATACTCCTCCGCTGCCTGCCGTGCTGCTGTAGTTGGTGCTTGGTAGGCCGAACCGGGGCCATCACGTGCCTCGCTCCCGGCGTAGGCCGTCGGGCCTGACTCCACTTGGACACTCACCTCGGGCTCCGGTCCGTCATCTTCTCCCGGGTCAGGTCCCTCATCTTCGTCTTCGCCCCACTCCCAGTCGTCCTCACACGGGATCGCCTCGTCGTCGACAACCGGCATCTCCTGGATGGTGAAGATGGTTACGCCCGTCCACTTGCCATAGCCTGGATCAGCCCCTCCGGCAGCCCGCCAATCATCCGTGATGACAACCTGGTTCGCCCCTTCTCGCAGATGGGTGACCCTCTCGTTGGTTAGGTGGGCAAGCGGTGTACGGAGACCAATCTCCGACGGGACGTAAAGGGTCGTCCGGGGTTCATCATGAACTCTCCACAGTTGCCTGCGGGACGGGTTGTACTGCCACCTTTGAGGCGAGCCCCAGTGGTCGCCCGGTCCGGTTGGGCTGGTGCGGTGAAAGTCCACACTGGTGGAAGGGCCCATTGGATCCCCCCAGACTCCTTGCAGGGTCTCCCCTTCTCCTTGGTCAGGATCTCCTGGGGCTGGCCCAGCGCCTCGAGAGGAGGTGCCTTTGCCCTTTCCTTTCTCACATGCCAAGCGATATCGCTCCGCCCTCGACAGGCCATACGGGTATTCCACCCTGGTGGACTTCCTCCCGCCTCCCTCGACATCTGAGTTGGGCTCCGAAGTGGATGAGGACGAACTTCCTCCTCTAGCGAAGCTGAGCCAGCCGCCCTTGCCCTTTCCCCCGCCTGTTCTGGAACTCCCTCGTGGGGATCTTTCCCGGGCTCCAGCTGGAGCGGATGAGCTTCTCATTGGTCTCCACGGCATAGGGATCACCCGGTCCTTTGCTGAGATCACGGCCCTTGGTTGCCGTGTCGGATTGGGAACCCCCCCTTCAGGGAACCCGAGCACCTCCAGTAGCCCGTCTCCATGGCGGCTCGCCGAGTGGTTCGCGAAGCCCATCGATTCCAACAAGCCATCCCCTTTGCCATCTCCATCGGGTTGATCGTTTCGTTGGACGCCTCCGCCATCTCCGTCATGTCCTTCGTCATCGTCTCCAGGTAGGTCTCCAGGTAGGTCATCCTCACCGTCTCCGCCAGCCTCGTCACGGTCACCAGGTAGTAGGGCACCTCCATCTTCTCCATCGTCTCCGCCTCGATCCCGAAGACCGCCTGCTCGGTGACCATCTTGTGGCGGCAAAGCCAGACCCCCCCCCCAACGAAGCTTGGAGCACCGCCACCACGACTGACACAAAGTTCTGGGCGTACACCCCGGCTTCAGTACAGCGAGTGACGGTTTGGCCGTCGCGACAACCCTTCAGCCCAATGTGCCGGTGCGAGGTCGACAGGCCCGGACAGACTCGACGGAGCGCTCGCCGTAACGGTGGATGCAGTGGGAAGACCACCCTGGTCTTGTGCACATAGAAATGATCTGGCTCATCAGGGGGGCCAAGACCAAAGGCGCACATGGGGTGGTCAACGTACTCTACGTCCGGCCGGTTGAGGATGCGCTTCCAGCACGGCAGGTCCCATTGCTTGGGGTACCGTCCACTGACCCCACTGGACTCGACGAGAGGGAAGGCACCAGAATCCAACGAAGCCTCGAAGAGCTCAGCAGCGTGCGAACTCAAAATGTTGCCCATTGCCTCAGTCGCTGCTAACGGTCCCTGTCCAGTGCCTTCGGGACACTCGAAGGTGCGAGTCCCGCCATTCTTCTGCTGCCAGTCACAGTAGCTCGTGCATGGGGCTGCAATCCAATGCACATTGGAAGGCCCGGTACGCACCTCTGCCAGAAATTTGTCGTGGACATCCTTTCGACTCAAGTCAAAGTGTGCCCTGTAGCCCTGCTTGTCATGGGGATGCTCGTAGACCTCGACCGGCTCCATGATCGGGCTCGTCTTGCTCCACTCCGCCGAAATGCCACCTTTCCCGGCAAAGAACTCCCTTAGCACCAGCTGCCCCGGTTCATGCGGCTGGCCTGCACTCCGAACCGCCCGAATCACATTGTGGTCATGGTGGATGTCCATGGTGCCTCCGGCGGTGGCGGCTGTGTAGGACAAGCAGCTATGCCTTGGTGCGTTGAGCGACTCCCCAGCTTTGCGGCCTGCTTTGCACAACCTGCAGAAAATCTTGCCTGGTGCTGTGGGAGGTTGATCATGGCGGGCATGCCAAAAGAACGTAAACCCCATCGCAGGTGTGGTCTGGGGGTCCTCTCTGGCTAGGAAGCGCTCCAGGTCGTAGCCGTCCGGCGGTTCCAAAAGGACCATGTGCCCCTTCCAAATCAGTGCAAAGGTCGTCCAACCCCCATCTATCCAGTTGGACCCAATGATGCACTCCACGACCAAGCCTCCTCGGTAGTCCGCCCTAAAAACCACCAATCGGCAGTCCGCAAGGGCTTCCAAAGGGAAGACCGCCAACGAGCGAAAGTCCTTCTCGTGGTGAGCTGTAGTGAGGTCATGGATGTAGGTCCTGACTTCGTGTTCCACAGCTGCAACCATCTCCTCCGCCTCGCCGATGGTGTTGGCCGCGTCCACTGCTAGCCGAGTCTGCTCCAACCTCAGGCTTTGTGCTCTGGTCTGAACCTGCTCCACTGACGGCCGTCGGCTCTTCTCCTTCCACTCAACCATAGCCGCAATGGTGATGGTCACGCACTGCCGCCGCTCGATGGACACCTCCGGTAGGTGAAGAAGTGCCGCCAGGTCCTCCGTCATCATGACGTCCTCCTGATAGTCCCACAGCCGCCAGGTGGTGCCGTCGAGCTCGACGCTTCCTTGCCCTGGTTGCCCCTCTGCCCACAGGGTGTCTCGAACCACCAGTCGAGCCGAGCCTGCTTTAGTTCCTTCCCGTTGCTCCAATAGTTCAGCCGCTTCCCGTGCAAGCTCTCCCATCCCGTAGGTCGCCATTTCCTGAAGAAGTGAAGAGAGTTCGACTCCGGGTTCCCTGGCAACTCTAGCGGCGGCCCATGCATACAAGTCATCAGTGGCTCCCTCCAGTGCCTGGAGAGCAGGGGACTTTCCTAGCTCCTGGGCTTTCTGGACCAGGTGCTTTGCCTCCTGTGGTGCCGAAGTCCCATCCCGACCACGATGAGGTGGAAGATCACGATGAACATCTCGATGCCATGCATAGTCCGGCCCTTGAATCACATCCTTGAGGTCCTCGCCCTTGGTGTAGTCGACTTCGAACTCCTCGGGGACGTCCCAAAATCGCACCTTTGGCCCTTCTCCTCCAGCTCGGCCATCTTCCGTTACCTCCTGCTCTCCAGATTCTGTCCCGACAGCTGCAGGGGTGCTCCCAGCTTTCGCTCGCTTCTTTCCGTCCTGGATCTTGTCGGTCTTCTCGACCCGCATCTTGGACCGGATGTCTTTGATCTTGGTGGTCACGGTATCCGGGCTCTCGAGCTTCATCCGTTTCAATCCACCTCTTTTTAGGAGTTGCATTTGCACACACGGGTCCAGATTCTCGAAAGAGCCGCGAAGTCCTTCATGGGAGCGCTGACAACCTGTCGTCTGGCAGCCAGTGGCACAGGTTTCCCCAGCAAAGCAACTTGCCGTGGCGGTCCAAAGGGGCCCGATCTTTGGCCATTCCGACCTCCTCCGGAGTCAGCTTGGGCCCCCACAGCGACTTGAGAGTGGGCTTGGACTGCGAACTCAAGCTTCCTGCACTCTCCCCTGCTCCTCCAGCTGGTGCTGCTGGGTTGCGATCCTTCCGGGCACCGCCCTGCCAAGTGAGATTCCATAAGAGGCGGTCTTGCTTCCTCTCGATCCTTGGGAGGACCTCGGTCTGGAACCATGAGTCGGGCTTCTCAATGTCGAAGGTCGTGGGCATCACCAGCCATGCCTGTCCATCTGGTCCGGGAAGTAGCGCATGGAACTTGAGCTCGGTAAGGCTGATCGTTTCCCTGCCGATCTCCTTCTTGAGGCTCCGAAGCACGTCCTTGAGCTCCTCCAGAAATCGCCAGTGAATCTCCTCCCAGATGTCAATGACTATGGCCAGCGGCCACCTGTGAGGATGGGACAGATGCCACTCCGACAAGAGGTTGAGGGCGTTGTTCCGTACGGCTCTCCATTCCTCCCCATAAACCAGGCACCACACATCTGTCTGGCGTCGTACTCGGGCGGTCCACTCATCAAACCTGGACGGAGGAGGAGGTCTTTGGTCGGTGTTCTTCATCACCTTAGCCTCAGAAGCAAACTGGTCGAGCTCAGCGTCCGTGTAGGAAAGGAAGTCCGCGGCGCTCAGGCCATACTTCTCCTGAATGCCCCAGTACGGCCCTGCAATTCCCACTGCCAGCCGTGTTGACATCCGTTGGCGGAAGCCTGCTGCTCGAAGCTCGGTCGAGGCTCCTACCTGAGCGGACAGCAATGAGTTTGCTAGTGCCTGACCGTGCTCTTCCGCACCAACACGCACTTGATACTGGCCACACGCCCGAAGCAAGAAGACCAGTTCTTCTGATTGTTTGTTGAGCCCCCGGATTGTACCGGGGACCTGACCTCCTGCTCCTTCGGTTTGTTGGCGAACCAAAGAAGCCAATTCTGCTGTTTGATGCTGGATCGCTTTGGCAATTTGGACAACGGGTTCTGCAGTGGTTCCATTGTCGGTCCTGGCTCCTGCCCTGGTGTCAGGGCGATAGATCCCGGGGGGTGCCACTCGTAGCCCGTCACCTCGCTTCTCTTCCACCTGAGGCATCTGCTGACCCCGTTCTGCCAAACCAGGTGGGGGTGCAGGCTCAGACGTAGGTCTCGTCCTGGATGCCGAGGTCCTCAAAGACGAAGCTAAAGGCAGAGATGTAGCTCTATCCCCATCCTTCTCGGGAGTATCCCCAGGAGACGCGGCTTGACTGCCACCTTCCACCATACTCCAGTCGCTACATCCCTCCCCTTCTCCATGAGGCCTTCCCAACTTAGCCAGCTCCTTCCGCCACGTGGTCAAGAAACGTGACAGCCCTCTCTGCCCTTGCGCCTGCTCATTCTCCGCCTCCCCAACCAGTTGTCGAAGAAGATCACCGGGTAGTAGCAGGCGGTCAGCTCCCAGCTTTCTGCGTGCTTGGTCTTCACGGAGCCCCTCAGCCTTTCCGGCCGCAAAGATCTCAAAGAACTCTTCCAGCAAGCTGCCGGCACCTTCTGAACCTGGCGACTCGAGCATCCCCATGCGGGATAGATTTCGACTGATGCTTGATCCTTTCGGAGTATGTCCAGGTGAGCGCGTTGTTCCCCTCCGACGTGGCGTTCTCTCTTTGATCTCGGGCTCCTCCCATTCACGAGCCCTTCCCAACAGCTTTCTCGCACGACCATGCCTATCCTCGTCACCATGCGCCTCCTCGTTGTCGACCCCGTTCTCCTCATCGTCGTTCTCCCCCTCGTCGATGTCCTCCACCGCTCGTGTACGTGACCTCGATCTGGATCGGCGCGCTGAGGTAGAAGAGGGTCTCGTCGGTGTCAGGCTTGAAGGTTCATGTTCTGAGCACCACACCACACCATGCTGCAGCTTGTTGCCAAACCTTTTGCAAAAGGTCACACTGCACTTGTCGGGATACCGTCGGGTCAGGTATTGGGTAGCATGATCCCCGCACAATGCAACAGCCCCGCACTGAGTGGGGACATCATCCTGGAGGAGCTGCCCAAAATGTTGAGCACGCACACTGCACGGCCGATTGGCCAGGCACTGCATAGTTCCATCAGGGCCCCGCCATGTGACCAGACTGCCGCAGCAAATAAGGTGCTCCTCCTCTTGCTCCGATTCGGAACCCAACTCCCGAAGGCGATGCATCAACTGTGAGGTGCCTTCGGTCAATGGGGACCCTTTCAACCAGGCCCAGAAGTCGTGGGTCACCTTGCGCGCACCCTCACGAGCTTGGGCCATCTGGAATCTTTCCGGGTCATTCTTTCGAACTAACCCGTACATGACAAAGTGCTCCCCACCCTCCTCGGTGCAAGCCTCATTTCGGCATAAGTGCACCTTCTCGACGTCCCGCAGCCGCCTCACCAAAGCCGGAGATCCGCGGATCGTGTTGCACTCCACAGGGACATAGAGGCCGTGGGTCTTGATGGACTGGGAGTCCATGCCGATGGCGAAGACAGCAGCATCTTCCCCTCTCTTCACCACCATGTACTTGGGCTGCTCACCGGACCTCTTGAATGCCCGAAGCTGGGAGGTTTCTGGTGTCCGTCCAGTGGCAGGGCCCAAGAACTCTGCTTCAGAGGCTTCTGGAGAGCCTCCTGTAACTCTTTGAAACCAGAACGCAAAGGCCCCAACTCCTCGTAGGACTTTGCGAAGTAGCCATGCCATCGCCATGCAGGCCCCGATCAGGAGCGACACAATTAATGGGGTAGCGCACGGCCCACACATAGTGAGCGACCAAACAGAGCCCCAGCACCACCAGAACCTGGAGAAGCCGGCGGCATCCGGTCCGAACCTTAGTCCAGGCGCTGCCGAAGAGTGCCCACCCGATCATGCCGAAGAGGGTGTCCACGACCATCCACAGCGCCACATCCCAGCTTCCCCAGGTCGAGGCTCCTTCCAACTCCCGACCCCAGCTCGCCAGGCCGGCAAGCCACCCTTCAGTGGCATTGAGCCTTCGCTCAGCACCCGGGAGCCACTCCCGAAGATGCTGCCGCCAACCAGCCTGCTCCTCCAAGGGCTCCACCTCCGGTGGCCCCTCAGGGCCAGCCCACCAACCATGGCTTACGGCTGTGGTCGAGATGACCACCAGCCTGAGCCACCACATGTGGCCGTGCCGACCCAAAAGGCTCAGAAACCTTCGGGCCAAAAGGACTTGGTCGTGCAAGACCTTCACAAAAGTAACGGTTATTTCTAACCTCCAAAGAGTGAGACGCGTGAGTCAGGCACATCCAACCCCTCCGGATTCGGGGTCCTGGCTGTGGGTCACCGGTACGGGACCTTGGGTCAAAACCGGCAAATGAACAGACTATACCAGGGTGAAACGTGCTCCAGGGTTTTTAAGCCACTGTCATATTGGATATGTCATAAATAGGGCGGACGTGGACCCATAGACGCGAACCGCGATGCGGCGTCGCAGCAATGGTGTGTGGTCAGTGCACTGACAAATGGCAGCACGTGTGGATGTTGTTTTGAATGTGACATCATGCTCTTTCAGCTTTTGTTGCTTCTGCTTTGTTTGTGCTGGTCATCTCGTCAAGTGCTAAGCGGCCCATCCCAGATCAGTCAAAGCACATTGCCCATTGACGCTTTTGGTAGAGGCAAATCCGCATTGACCACCCGGGCGCTGCTTCTCATCTCAGAGGAACTCGTGCAGGACGAGGACGTTTTCGGGCGTTACCAAACCTTCAGCCACAAAGCAGAAGCCGTGCCCCCCCGCGGCGATGGAAGAACTGGTCTTATGGGCACGGCGGGGGTGGTCGATGGTGTTTGTGTGTGGATGTGTGTTGGCTGAATGAATGTGATTCGGGATTGGGTCGTTTTGGAAGGTTGCGACGCTGCGACGGCTTAAAGACGTCCTTGGACTGACATAAGCAACATGAGCGCATCGATGTGCAGCGCGTGGCCGGGAGTTTGATCTCTCGCTCAAGTGCTAGGGCGGGGTGGGGGCAAAGCACCTGCAATATTGGCACGTGCAGTTGCAACGAAAGTTGGTGAAGCAACATGCCTTGGGAGCTGGCAAAGAATCAAGGCCAGGTGTATGGCTTAGCCACCACTTGGCTTGAAGCAGCCAAGCCCGTGGACGCTTTGGCACTTTAGCCGAGGCTTCGGCTTCGCCCATTTCAGCGGCTATGGCGACTTTCTGCGCCTTGGGCTTTGGGTTTTGTAAAGGGAGCAGGGAAATCACAGGAAGTCAGTGGCACAGTGGTAATGCTCCTGCAAGTTTGAGCACGTGTTTCTGTTATTCTGATCCCCCGAACATGTCAGATAGTGCACAGATTAGTCTACGAACACTTGTGGGCCCGGTTGAAAAAGAGTCCCGGATGACCACAGATGGACTGAACGTGAAAAAGCATGAAAAGACACCTCGGTGCGTCGGTTTGGACATATCTGTTTGAACCAAAAAGTGGAACACCCTGGGAGAGTCTCATGGTCTCCAGCCCCCGAAACCATTTATGGGCCGTTGTAGCTTGCAATAAACAACTGGGTCACGACAGGTGGGCAGAGAAACCCGTATATATCGCACCATTGCATACAGCCAAAGCTGCAATTTCTTCAGGAAGTCTCTCCGTGGTCAGGGCGCTAGCGGGCGGTTGAGTACAGTGAGGACAGTCTGGATTGTTTGCTGCCAGAATGTTCATTGTGACCAGTGGTGGATGTTTTCATGGCATGGTTCATTTCGCACTTCTTCGGGTCAACTAATAAGTGTGAGTTCATATGAACGGGTGAAGATTCACAGACCAACTACTGTAATATATATATATATATGTATGATTATGATACTTATACCGCCTAACTACATGAAATGGTCACAAATCGGGTAAATGTATGTCTAACTCTTCCAGCCTCATGGACCGCGGCTCGCCGCAGCCCGCAGCGGCCTCCGTGCCGCACCTGCCAGGCGGGCCAGAGGCCAGCTGGACGTGGGGGAAGAGACGCCCAACGCCACGCCCAGCAACACACCCAACCGACGCGCCGGGAAAGCCCAGGGGATCCATCCGACGTCGATTTGAGGGGTCGATGGACGACACGGACCGGTGGATGGACGGAGGTCGTGTTGGTGTGTTTTTGCCGGTCGGCTCCTTCGGTGTGATTGAATGCGTCGGAACTCAGGGCCCCACATCACCGGGACGGGACAAGATTAATGTTTTTTTTTGCGGTTCTTTGGACAGGACAAGTCTGGAGAGGAACTGAGCCTTGATGTGCCCATTGTTTGTTCAGCAGGGTGCATCCAGCTGGCGCTGCTGTGTATAGAGTGCAAACACTCCGAGTTCGTGTGGTTGGGACCATGGCAGCTGTGATAGTACGTAGCCAGAAGCAGTAGCAGAAGCAGTAGCAGTAGTTATAGTCGCAGCAGTAGCAGTAGCAGTAGCAGTAGCAGTAGGAGTAGTAGTAGTAGTAGTAGTTGTTGTTGTTGTTGGGTGCAAGTGAGTGAGTGAGTAAGTATACATAAGTCAATAAGTTATAAGTAACTGGGTTAGTTAACTATAGTGGGATGCAAATCTGATGAGCAGTTAGATTCATTCCATATATGGAGCGCTTTTAGCAGGTGATGTACCTGTTGATTTCCTGGTCCCAGAGTCCTTTTTGAGTCACTCTTGATTCATAACCTCCAAGGGCCCAGGCCTCAAGAGCTTTCTCAATTCGCATTTTTTGGAGGGTAGAAGAGTCATGAAGAGTCCACTAACCTCCCTGGTCTATGATCCGGGGTGTCCATCAACCCCCCCTGGTTTCCACATGTTTCCACTGCGCGTCCGAACTCCGAACTTGCCATTTTGGAGCTCCGACGTGAAGCCGCCGATGGATGCCGGTCAGGCTGAGGTTTGGGTTGAGGTTGTGGGGCACGCGTCGGGAGCCGAAGCAGTTTTCGACCGAACATGGGAGGTCAACCCTGGTAGGGTCCGGAGGTCAACCTCGCGCGAGGAGTTTGGGTCAATGACAGGCAAACGAAAAGACCTGAAAGGACATGCGCAGCAGCATACCAGAAGCTCATGCCCCCAAGAAACCATGGTGCGTTGCGCACGGGGCTGGAGTTCGTAGACAAGTGCAACCTCAAAACATCAACCCCTATGTGGTCGATCCGGGCCAGTTGGGCAGTAATGTCGTCTCTTGATTAATAAACCCCCCCCCCGGGCCCCCCCCCCCCTATCAACAATTGAGACTCCAGAACAATATGATAGAAAAACAATCAATTGATAAATAAATAAGGAATCCTTAGCTAGCTACCTCTGAAGCTACTCTGGCAATACTAAAATGAAAGGAATCATTACTTAGCTATCTCTGGCAATACTAAAAATGAATAGGAAAAAAGGGACTCATTACTTAAAATCATCAAATTCCATTGGAAATCTATAAGATTTCAATGGAATCTGCATCCAAAGACCTTCAAAATCATCAAATTCCAATGGAAATCT